AAAAATTGCACTCATAAATGCTTCAGATGCATAATTTATTCTACGATTCATAAAACAAATGAAGTTTTATTAAATAATGTAAATATGTATTAGCTCTTACATAACAGCATCCAATCTAAAGTATATATTTACAATATATCACATTCTTGTACAATAATAATATAATTTAGCACACTGTTGACAATATTATTATACATTCATTTCTAATAAATTAATTAGCAAATGTATTGTATAATGAATTTATTTAATAAACAAAAGATACTGATCCTGCAAATATAATATAACATGATCACTGATATCATGAAAAGATGAATCATTTATTCTATGAGAAATTATTTCTCTAAAATTTATCTTTATAAAAGAATACCATAAAATTAAGTCAGTCTTTAATTCTGTAAAATTAATTTAGAAATTATTTCCAAAAAAAAGCCGCTTGCCGTTCTTTACATATAAATATTCGTTTTCTAAAATTTAAGGTATTCCTTTCATTACCTTTTTAACAGAAGTTTATGTATGAACTTATTCAGTATTCAAAATATGTAGCGCACTGCTCGTGAAATTATGTTTCGTTTGTTCTTTCTTTCCAATGATAAATTTTTCTCAAAAAATCTTGTTTCCTATATAATCAATAATAATAGGAAAGTGAAAATTTGATAATACAAATATTATTACTACAATTAAAAATTTAATAATTTTTTAATAGTGCTATTTTCCTCCATCTATGATTTGTTTCATTTTTTACATGACCAAATTCAAATCTAATTCTGAGCTCACCAATTTTTGATATTGGTAAAATATCTGGTATCCATTCTATTAAAAATGGTGTTGGTTCAACTTGATTTGGAGAAGTATTTCCTGTAAAGTAAAGTAGAAAATTTAAAAATAATTTTTTAACATATTGCTTTAACACTTTTGTAAGTACTCATTTCTTACCGACTTTTAAATATGTTTTTAATTCTAAGGGCTTAATTAACGCATTATTATTGGTTTTTTTGTATCGATCTATTTCTGTTTCCTCCCGTTTATACAATTCATATGTGCCGTCTGCATTTTGAACGAAACTTCTGGTAATTTCCAAAGGTATAAGAGGTGTCTCAAAAATACTTTTAACATGTAAAATATTAGTAATTTGCCATGTATATTTAGTAAATGTACCTAACGGAACACCGTCTTTCCTAACAAATGCTGTTGTTGAATTTGGCAAACGTTTTTTTTTACCACCACAAGATATTCTCTCTCGTAAACAATCGAAAAATATTTGTGGCACATGAAATACTAAGGGATCTGGTTTTCCATCAAATTGAAAATGCATAGTTTGATTTATTCTCTCTGTTATTGATGCAAGCCATTTAATAAAAGGTAAATTTATGTTAGCTTCGTCCAAATCTTCACAAGGATTTTGATATTTTTTAACAATATGTAACTTTGTTTTAGCTTTTCTTGGTTCTATTGAACTTAAATTATTCAGACTTGTGGTATTTGTGCTTGGTTTATCGTCTCTTTTTCGTTTTGTCGAAGTTGGCTGTTGTATGCTACTGCTTTCAGTACTTGATAAATTTCCAGTATCATATTGTACTAATGTATTTTTGTCTACTATTTTCACACCACTTGTACTCGAAACAGTGTTGGTGTCAATTAATTTCATGTTATTCACATCTAATATAGCATTTGTATCAAGGACCTTTAAGGTTCCTGTATTTAGTATCTTTATGTTATTATCATTTAATATATACTGACTATTATTAAGCACATTATATTTAGAGTCTATGCTTGTCTGATCATCCATTATTTTAACTGTATTTCCACCAAGTTGTACACCACCTTGATTAATCACTTCTAAATTATTCACCTAAATTTTCAAATATTAATATTTTAT